CAATGAATGACTAATACGGGCGGCCGCGCCGCCCATTGGCCGTTCGTATGCCGCAGGGGCGTGCCTTTCATTCTCCGACTGTCGACATGGACCGGTCACATCAATGACCCTGGCCCCGGATCCGGCCGGATCGTCTGCCGACATCCTAAGGAATGGAAGTAAGGAAGATGGATATGAAGCAGACAGTGTACGGAACAATACGATAGCAATTGTTAGGGCGTTGTCCTTATACCGAAGGTCAGCAATGCTGACTGCCTCTTAATCTAATTGAATCAAAACAGACCGGAACTCTGTCTTAAATACATTTTTTGTAAAAATCATTTATTCTGATGTGGTCTTCATTGTGATGTCGGGAAGGCGATGAACAATGATTTAAGCAGTACATAATAAAGCATCATCGGCTTTATTCTTCCTTCAGCTTTGCCTTGCCTGTCCGGTAAAACCCCTTGTCTGCGCCTAGCGCAGTTCTTCCCGGTAAGACCAGCCCATTTACCAGTCGTGCGGTCAGATGGTGGCCAGTCCGGGTGAGCCCCGTGCGGTTAGCAGCTCGGTGGTGGGTTTGATTTCCGCCCGTCAGAGACATCGAAAGTATCTGCGACAGAGGAGGAGCTGCAAACGGTCCACGCGCTATCCACACAGCCCCCTTGATGTGGTGACTCAATTAGAACCGCGCAAATTGAGCTGGATGTATCAAAGAATTGCGTCTTAGAACCCACCTTAGTTCCGTCAACAAAAGATATTCTGTTATTAAAATGAGCCCTTCCTGAGAAGAAAGAAAAAAAAACTAAAAGAAAATCTACATTTACAGCTTATCATAGTTGTATGAAGTAAAGAGCACGGATCATTTTCGTTATTTGATGAATATCCAGACAGTGAAATTATTTCGCACCTTTTCTAGAATATCCTAAATTCACCAATGTCTTTGATTCGTTGACATCAGCTGAGGGTCGGAGAGAGAGCTACTTTGCCTGCCGTTTCCCGGCGGAGTTCATCTGACTCCGATTCAGTCGGCAACGGCAGTCCGATGTGGGCCACATCAGCCGGCAGCGGCAGCTCGATGTGGGCCACATCGGCCGGCCCAGCGGTGCGGGCGGTGGCGATAAGCGGATTCGATTTAGCCCTTCCGGCGCCACCCACGGCGCGTCGGTCCGACACGAATCACAAGTCGCCGGGTGGCCGTGGGATGGACTGGCCGCGAGCAATGCAATCAGGCCCCCAGTACAGAGAGCCGCTGCCCCGTTGCAACACCGGCCGTGCAATTGTAGGCGCGATGAAAGGGTGACATTCTCCGAGGTGATTTCGCCAGATGCTGGAATTGAAGACACTTCCCGGGACTAATTCATTTGGTTTTCACATTCACAAAGTCATGGCATGTGCTTTGAACGGTTCTTGAGCATACCAAAGGAAGGCTGTTGGTGCATGCCCCTCCATATTTCAGCGAGGTGAGAGAGCATGCAGTTTCGAGTTTCGACACCATCCTGTAGTCTGATTCCAATGATTTGAAAGTTAGTGATATCCTTCTCTCCAATTTACTTACATACCAAAGCATGTCCTGAGGCATGCCCAACACGGAATAAAAGCGCATCATCACAGGCCGCATTTAGCTCTGCCCTGAGCTCGGCTTGCCATCTATTAATCATCATACACTGCATTACAAATTCACCCCACCTCCCCGACAATTACCTCTCTAATTACAGACTCCCACACGCCCTTGCTTGTTCCCACAACGCTAATTTTCCACCAGCCATTCGATCCGGTCACAATAATCCCCAATGTCTCTTTTTGCCAAAATACGTATATCATACCTATAGCTGAGTCTCAACGCCACTGAACCGAATCACATCACACTCAGCCTCTCCACAGTTTGTCGCGCTGCGTCTGATCATGCCGCGGTGCGCGGGGCGCCGCGACTGTCCAGCCGCGCATCGATTGCCGCGCTCGAGCACCGCGGTCACAGGCGGTAACGGCACGACTGGGACGAACCTGGCGCGGTCGGCGCGGCACGACGTCCCACCAGGCTGAGGAGCGCCGCGCAGAGACGTGGGGCGACTTTATATGGTCGGCATCACACCATCAGCAGTCAGCGAAGGGTGAAGCGTCGCCAGTTACCTTGCCGACTACAAGCTGTCGATACCGGATGTGAGCTTTGTGTGGCCTTGAAAGTTTTGTGCTGTGTATAAGCGTATGCTGCTACCTGGCAATGCTAGATTTACCAAAGCCATGAATGGAATTTAAAGGGTATACGCAGATGAAGCCTTGAGCCTATTGCTAATTTGTCGCACAAAAACCCTATCTTGATAGCTAATTCTTCGTACTTACAAAAGAGAGGACAGACGCTTACGACTGTTTTATTCAGGCTCAGTTATGCTAACATATTAAAAAAAAACTTGCTTGGGTATTTGAGACATTAGTATGAGAATTAATTTCTATTAAAACTTCTTATTTATAGACAAAATATTTTTTACCTATATCACCCATTAGCAGTGTTCACTGAGAATGACGGTACCAAACGTCGACGTTATCCCGCGCACGGGAGTCGATCGGGACCAGCCTAATTAGGCCATCAGCCTGACCCGGTGGGCTGGCTCTGATCTCAGTTATAGCAGGCCTCCGTTTGTGAACAGTACGTGGTTCTCTGCAGACTTCCTCCGGTCCTTTGAGCTAATGTAAAGTATCCATGACAGTTGAATAATGACAACTCAAGAAACTCAATATTACAAAACAATATTTATTTACGATATCTAACGATAACAATAACGATATTCATTTTTAAAGTAATTTGAAAATAGATATCGTTTTGTAATCTTGAGTTTCTTGAGTTGTCGTTATCCTTTGCGCTAAGCTGAAGTCATGGTGGCTGCTGCCGAGACAAGCGCTTGGCTTATTTATGGGTCCCAACCAGTTAACCCTCGCCGGCACAGGCCATTTTGCGTCCTTCGACGGCACAAGGGGGGGGGGGTTGGTTGGTACGACCCCTCCCCCCTCGCGTTTGGCCCCTGATCGAGCTAGATCCTTCTCGGAAAAAACGAGCGTGTTGCCCGTCACGAGAGGAAGCCGATGATACCCAATTTTAAGGTCCTAAGTCATCGGGTGACCTTCCAGGTCAGGTCAATGACCCTAAAAACGGGAAAATCGGGACCTGTTAGAAAGTCGTAAAGTGTGGCTGCTATATGGTTTTCCGGGGTGCTGATCACGAATATTGTGTTAGTTTTGATCAGAGATTATGTTTTTAAGCATTTAGACCAGGTCGGGTCAGGTCAGGTCAGGTCAACCGGTAGAGGTTGTGACGGGTATTCGTAATACGCGTCAACCGCCTCTGACAGTATCGTAACATGTTACGAAGGCACCAAAACTACTTCGTAAATGTTCAAATGGTTGCTAAATTCGAAATCAGCTAAAAAAACTAGCCTAGAAACATGTAAAACTCGAAAAAGTGAACCGAGGTCACCCGAGGTCACCAAAGGTCAGTGACCTGACCTGACCTTCAGGTGACCTTGACACCCACCTTTATGTATGGAAGCAACTCAAATCACATGTTTGAACGTTTGAAACCACGAAAAGCTTGCAAACGCGCGGCTAATGCGAGCCGACATACGCCGAATCGCGATTTCGGCCAAACATGGTCACGGAAAAGAGGTCACAGGTCAACGGTCATTGGGGTCAGGGTCATGAAATTTTCAGGGAACGTGTAAAATTAATCAATGCGAGGGTACTGAAAGTTTCGTCGCGATCGGCCGCTTTTTACGCGAGTTATTCGCGAAAAACCTTAGGGGGGTTGCATCAACCCCCCCCCCCTGTGCCGGCGAGGGTTAACAATGCCTAAGAGAAATGCGTAGATGGTATCAATATTCAAAAGCAGGGCTCTAGGCGATGAACGAAATGTTAGATATAATATTTACTGTTCGGACAAAGTATGCTTGCGATTCACCAAACATCCGCAGTTGCAATGTACATACAGCCCACCGCTAAAGTAATGTGTGGTTTTACCAATCTCAACGGATGGCTTTGACCGACGATTTTTTAAATGCGGACTGATTGAAAAGAAGACGTCAATAGATAAAGTTGTAGCTGCAAGGGTGAAGATACATGTAAGCTACATTTAAAGTCTCGTTGCAGTCTGGCTGATCGTTCCTAGGCTTCAGAAGCAGAACATACCCATGACTGAAACCACACATTACTTCTGCTGTGGACTGTACTTACCATAACTGGCTCGGAAAAAAACAGCTCCATCCATGCAAGGCCTTGGAGGCGGCTCGCCGAGGGCTGGGACCGGGAGCGCCATCTCGCGTCGGGTACCGATCAGACCTGCATGGCTCCAGCAGCGCCCCCTGGTCGCTGCTCGAGGGACGGCGTAGGTGGCGCTGGCTAGCATCCAGGGGCTCTGCCCGAGAGCTGGCTGTTCTGGGCAGAGAGGACCCGACGAAACGACTTTTTTATACCTAAATCTGATTGTGAGTGTATTTTTGCATAGAGACTCCTAAACATTCGTAAGAAGATGCTAGAGGTAACTTGTTGAAATTTCGGACCTGACCATGTATCCTCTTTCCTTCCCTGTCTCTCCAGACCGTATTTTTTTTTCAAAGGGGTATGCAGCATCTGAATACCATTTTCCTCAAATTTATATAGTGTTTACTGCCCATGGCCGGGGAGATTCATCTTCATGCTGGCAATTATGACACGCATAAAGTGACTATGGCCACAGCAATCTCGGCTTCTATAGATTGCTATCACTTCGTAACGTGACTCTGCTTTCACCAGCATTATCAAAGGTATTTAATATTTTCCTTTTCATCAGATAATCAGATCCTCTCAAATCTAAACCATTGGTTGCATCATCACTATTTCTACATTCAAACTGCAGGTGCAGCAATGCCAAGAGGCCATGAAAGTAAATGCTGGCAGACGGTAGTTCTGAATAGATACCGAAGGAGATCAACACTGGTTAGGCATTTCTCATTTGTCATCACCGTACGATTTCATTGCACAGAATAGGTACTCACCGGCGACGAAAAACAGTATCCATAGAGCCAGCATGCTGGACGATGAGTGTCTTCGGAGAATGACTTTGACAATGTAACGCAGCTGAGTTTACAATTTTATGTCATCCGTGGACGCCCCCTGGAAACGGAGAAAAGAAGGCAGGGTTAGGTCATGAATGAGACAGCACTTTCTCATCCATGGTTAGGTAAATACGTTTCAGGGTGAGTGCATATGCACTGAGCCATGGAAACTGAGCTTATGTGGCCTAGGTCAGTTGCTCGGGCATACTTTAAGAATTCATCGTGCGTTACTCAAAAAGATGAAAATTTACTTTATTGCTTATGCACACAAAAAAATATTAACACCGTTAGCGGTGTAATTGCACAGTACATATCTGAGCACTTGAGGAAAGTTAATTTAGTCCCTTCCCCGCTTAAATTACTCGCGCTTCTAAATGAACACCAGGAAGAAGGTGTTCCTGGTGAACACTGTTAAGAGGGTTGAGTGTTTTACTGCATATAGTAAAACACCCAACCCTCCTAACAGTGTTCTATTACCTTCTTCCTGGTGTTGATTTAGAAGCGCGAGTAATTTAAGCGGGGAGGGACTAAATTAACTTTCCTCAAGTGCTTGCAGATATGTACTGTGCAATTACACCGCTAACGGTGTTAATATTTTTTGTGTGTGTCACCAGTCACTTGGCTTGCAGTTTGTGTTCTACGACAATATTTGCATTTCGCGCATTTGGTTTATTTACTCATTCCAAAGCAGCAGAATAAGCCCTTATTAACTGCTGCTTGTTTTCCTTTAAATTTAGCTCAGCTACAACATGATCGACCTTGACAAATTCCAACTTGGTGATAACGACAGCATAGGCGTAAGTACTACGAAAGTAAGTCTTTACGTCTCTTTTTTTCACGGCTGGTGACAGCCAGCGCATTTCACAAGAACAATAGTTCAGAGGCCTCTTGCACCAAACTACCTAGCTAGGTAAAATCGAAAAACCGGTTTCAGAATAAGCTAATCTAACGGTGGTAAATTTGTTTGCAATAGCCCAATACATAATCCTATATGTGCTTGCTAAATTTTGCACGCAAATTGTTACCTTTGAGACTTGGACTGTGTATACGATGCAAAATAATCCAAGCATTGGTGCAAGAGGATTTTGGTGCAAGAGGCCTCAGATGTCATTTCACTGGCGTTGTGTTTAATCATGCTGCCAAACATTTACACCATTCGTGCCGGGTCCCTTCGAATAATGATAGCCCAGGTTCATGATCAGCCTGCGAATAGCACTGCCACGTGTGTGCCTGTGCGGCCCGGGTCGAGCGAGTTTCGTAGTGCAGTAAATTTAAGGAGCATGTCGTGAACGTCAGGTCTAGATATGGTCACAGCGAATTACAGGAGGTGGGGTCAGTGACAGCTGAACAAATGTGTCGAAACAAAAGCCGTGGGCAGAAGAATTAATGAGCCCAAAAGCTATTTCAAGAGGCATGACTGAAACAGCATCTAAACATCAAGTCTGTATGAAAATCCTTCATGCATGCATAAGAAATCATTAAATGAATCACAAGTTCTGAAAAGTATTACTAAAAGTCCTAAGATGCATCGTTGACAGTTCACAAAAGAACTACTTGACTTTTGTCAGAGGTAAGTGTAAGATAGCCAGCCATATTGTTATACATGTAAAAGTCCAGGGGTGTCGATTTTTCAAAATGGTTGGGGGTGCTCAACCCCTGCACCGGGTGAAAGATTGCAGCTTTGCCATGGGGCACAACCGTGCAAGGCATGGTTGGGTATCCCCATAAGGTACTGATAATCACGGGATTTCCCCCCCCCCCCCCCCCCCGCCATCAGGTTCAGGGGCCCATCGGGTTATTCGGGCCTGAGGGGCCCTGCGGCGCCAATTGGCCGCTGAGGGTCCACGTTGGCTATATTTAGACTCAGAAGGGCCCCACGGGGCTCGTAAGAACACCTCATGGGCCCACAAGTACCAACATTAAGATCTCCATAAGGGCCTCAAGCCAGCCTCTGAGGGCCACTTGCCGGCCTCTGGGGGTCTTAACCGGCCTATAGGGGGCCAGCTCTAGGAGCTGCACACCCGCCTATAATGGCCCCACACCCATTTCTCTGAGGGCCCATATAACGGCGACTCTAAGGGCCCTCACCGGCGCCCCTGAGCGCCACACCGGCGTCCCTGAGGGCCCCACACCCCTAACTCTGAGGCCCTACACCAATGCCTTTAAAAACCCTACATGGGCGGTTCTGAGGGCCATTGTCAGTTACCAGCGATCCTGACGGCTCACACAGGTGACTCGGAGGGTCCCAGCGGCGTCTGAGCGCACCATGCCAGTCTCTGAGAACCCCACAAGGCTCCTGAAGGCACCGGTGACCTCTTGATATCTTTTTGTCGGCCTATGAAGGGTCCGTTCCGTAACAGCAGTTCTGAGGGCCCCACGCGCGTCTGTGATGGCCCTAAACCAGTGTCTCTGAGAGCCCCCACAACGGCGCCTGTGAGGGCCGTCACCGGCGACTGCGAGGCCCCCACACCGGCGCCTCCAGTCCGAGGGCCCCACATTGTCATATCTGAGGGCCCCACACTAGTGCCTCGAAATAGTTCACTTTTTAACATGGGTTTTGAACTGGAATAGCAGTTCCGTAGCTTGGGCTGAGACGAGCATAAATCAGGAGCTTTTACAGCCCAACGATCACCCTAGGCAAAGATATTCTATTTCTCGTCCCGAAAAAGGTGTCTTGCGTTGAGGATGTGTGCCTTGCATATATTTCCATCCAGTATGAAAAGAGCATGGGTCCCGAAAATTCTTCAGAAAGTAGAGAAATTATCTACGAGAACTCTAGAGAAATTCTCGTACTGATCAATTAGGACATTCAGGGGAACATTATCAGATCGAGCAGATCGCCCAAATGCCGGTGGCTGCGATAATTTCTCTGTTTCTGAAGAATTTTCGGGACCCATGCTCTTTTCATACTGGATCGCGTGTGCCTTACAGAAACTGAAAAGTTCTTCCTATATCAAAATATAGAAAATAATCTTTTGTTATAAAAAGGTTTTATTTTCTTTGCTGATTATTTTGAACATAAAAAATCATAAATCCGCTGCAAAAAAAAATAGTTTCGTGAAAGTGAACTATTTCCTTTAAGGCCCTATATCGGCGGCTCTGAGGGCCCAGCATCGTAGCTTCTGAAGGCCCCACTAGTGCGCATGTGACGACCATCCTGCCACCGGTGACATTTGAAGGCCCCACACCGGCGACTCTGAGGGCCCCATCGGCGTCTGAGTCCGTTCCGGTCTCTAAAGACGACCCCACAGGGTTTCTGAAGGTACCACCGGCCTCTGATGGCCCTTTGCCGGCCTCTGAGGGCCCGTCGCCGGTCTCTGGAGCCCCCTGCCGGCTTGTAAAGGGTACGCACCAGCAGCTCTAAGAGTCCGACACCCGTGTACGACGGACCCACACAAGTGTCTTTGCAATTTAACGTCTTTTTTCGCCCTTCTTCTTAAAACTAACTTTTCTTTTCTTTACATCTTTATTTCATGCCTTGTAAATTGCGTAATTGTTTTATTTTTTGTAGTGAAAGACTGCAGAACAATTATTTTCCTCAAGCAGAGTTAGTGGGAGTTATTGAGGAACAAAATCATTGGGGGTGCCCGGAAAACCATTGGGGGTGCTCATTTGAGCATTGGGGGTGCTGCAGCACCCCCAAAGGTATACAAATCGACACCCATGTGTAAAACATTATTTTATTACAAAATTGACGATAAGAGCACTACATGTGGAACAATAGTGAACACTTCTAGATTCATTACATCAGAATATGTCTCATAAGTTGGCTGTTATATGTGTACCTAGTGCACATTGTGCAAAGCTGCCGAATATAGCGCGGTTTATTTCTGGTAGGTACCGTGTGTACTACACGACCCCCCGCCGGTCAGCCCCGGGGCGCCCTCCTCGTGCACGCTCCGGTGACGTCACGTCTGCATTGCGGTGTCGGTGGTGCTCGGCCGGGGTGTAGGGTGAGGTTCGGCGGGTCGGGCCGAGTCCCCCCCCCGTCCAATCAATGACCGAGGAACACGAGCGAACTGACGAGCGTCCAACTCAGCCGGTAGGTTCTCTGACTCAGTCGAACGGGGGAAGGGTCAGGGGTTAGAGGTCGCCCCAGTGCGAGCTTGAGGAGACTCGAGAGCGGAACCTCGGGTGATCAAGGTCAGGTGCGGGTCACCGTGGCTGCCGTACGCGTCACTGGAGCTGGGGAAGTTTGTGGTGAGCTTGTTAGCGAGTCGTGTAACCCGAGTTGTGACGAGTAGGGAATAAGTTCGACATTAACATGCACTCAACACTGAAGTATGGACGTGTTATGTGACAAAGGCTATGTTATTAGGTGAGTTATACGGCAGGGACTTGGAATTATTCCATTTGGGTCATTAGGGGGACTCGAAAGCCAACATTAACCAGCGGACACCATTTCGGAACAAAGATTAATGGCCCCTGATACGCCCATAGTCAAACATATTATTGTCGCATCAGTGGGCTTTGGCTGTTTGATTTCACCTTGTGGTCTGTAGTCTCTCTTTCATCTTCTACGTGCATGGCATAATATTTATGTTAATGATTTAGTCAGCATATCAAGAAATAAGCAACGTTTTGCTCTGTTTTTGCGAGAACGCACAAGATCAAAGTCTTCACTTATGATGGGAACGTGAAAATGCATACAAGATGATTTATTGAAAACAGTTCCAAATATGCAATATTCACATAACTATCACATCTCCCATGTGATCATCCCAACAGTAAGTGTACTGACAACTGTTTGGAGCACGAGATGAGTGTGGCGTGGAGACAACAGAGCTCAAGCAGACATAATTTTGGTAAAAGGAGTGCAACTCATTCTTCGGGAGCACTTTGAAAACTCAAAACGCTCCTTTTGTTGTTCAGGTACTATAGTAAGGGACAAAAGAAAAATTTAACATCATTAAACAATAAATAATATCTAATAATTTTGACATAACTGGTTATAACTATAATGTCAGCAAACTGTCAATATTGGATGAAGTTTCAAAAACAAATGTAATGGGAGTGGTTTCCACGAGCGCATGAGCACAGGATATACGAAGGCTGTCT